GGCGGCAGCGCGGTGTGGCAGGGAGCTCCCCGGGCATGGGGTTGGGAGCGCACTGGCTGCTGGTCACGCCCCTGGGCACTATCCAACAGTCATGCAACCACTAAGTTTTCCTGCCATTACACAGTTACACGATAGCTAACCTCTCTCGTAGAAACTCTTGCTGGCAGCTGTGGGCACTCTGCTAATCAGCTGGGCGGCATTTAAATCCCTCCTGGGGGGCCGCCCAAGCCCCCAGCTCACAGGGCACCATGGTGCCTGCCAACCACCCCACCAATCTGCTCTCAAATGCAAATATTTTTGCGTAGGCCTTCCTATTCCATGCTCACCGCCCACTGCGGCTGGCGGGGGTGCACGCTGGAAGATGCCCAATCTGCATGTCCACTCAGGTAACACTGATGGGCAGCATTGGGCGGATCCTTCAGCAGCCCCTCCATGCAGAGAGAAGCCACGTGCCTTTGTGTTGCAGGCGCCGCGGAGGAAAGGTGTCAGGATGACGAGGAGAAGACAGAAGCAAGACATGCAAGCAGGAAGGAGAGAGGAAATGTTTCAGGGAGGGATGCTGGGGTTGCTCTGGAGGACAAGCTTCTGCAAGCGTGGCAGGATCGTGGGCTTTCCAAAACTGTCTCCCACTTGCTCTGCCGGCGTTCTGCATGACTGTTATCAACCCAAATGCTCTTCCCCTTTATTTTAGACAGATGCTGCCCTGTTGTATGATGCCGTTCACATCGTCTCCGTGTGTTACCAGCGAGCCCCGCAGATGACCGTTAATTCCCTGCAGTGCCATCGGCATAAAGCCTGGAGGTTCGGGGGTCGCTTCATGAATTTTATCAAAGAGGTAAAAGCTCTACAGACAGCCCTTGTGGAGATGGATGGGCGCAAGGATCCAAGGGGGACCCAATAGGCTGCACGTGAAAGTAAATGCCATGAGAGAATAGACAGTGCAGCTTTGATCTGATAAAGAGCAGTATCCAGAGGTGCAAGATAACTGAGCTAAACTGACTCCTGGTGAAACACCACTGCCTTTGGTGGAAAAGAACAGAGCTAAATCTGACCACTCAGGTTGGCCTAGTGCAGAGGTTTTCAAACTATGGGTCGTGACCCAGTACCGGGTGGTGGAATGGCGGGCTCTGGGTCTCATTGCTGCAGGGGAATCTGGAGACCTGTGGGGGTGCTAAGGCAGCTTCCTGCCTGTCCTGACACTGCAGACTGTGCTGCGCCCCAGAAGTAGCTGGCAGCAGGCCTGGCTTCTAGGTGGGGAAAAGTGGGAGAGAGCACACAGGGCTCCACGCACTGCCCCTAGCACTAGCTCCACACTCCCATTGGCTGGGAACCTGCTGCTGGCTGCTTCTAGGGTGCAGCACAGTCTGCGGTGCCAGGAGAGGCAGGAAGCTGCCTGAGCACCCTTGCTGCACAGCTGACTGGGAGCCTTTCCTACCCCAGCCCTGAACCCCTAACCCAAAGCTGGAGCCCCCTCCCACACCCCAAAGCTGAGTCCTGGTGCGGATTGTACAAGTGCATTTGTTAAGCTATGAGCTGACAGTGTAAATCATCATGAGTTACAATCCTTGTTAAATGGTTATAGGTGGATGATAGTCACCTCCATGCATCAGGCTTGCATGAGGCTTGGGTCCCACTTACACAAATAGTTTCAGGGTGGTCACAGCAAGAGGTCAGAAAGGAGCTAAGATCTGCGGTGCTGTGACTGATGCGCCCCTGTGTCTGCGTCCGGCCGCTCTCATTACAAGGCGGCTTCCCAGCAGAGCAAGAGCTGTTTGCCCTTTGCAGGAAGGTTGGCATGGTGTCCCCAAAAAGTACTCGGCAGAGGTCTGGTGGCAAAACTGGCAGCGTCTTGTCTCTGCCCATATGCTGATTGCTCGGGTTGGGCAGAGCAGTGGCTGGAGGAAGGCAGGAGTCCGGGAGTGAAGTGGGAACTTTGTTTCCTCTGTTCGGTGTAATTAGAAATTCCCCGGGTTCAGCCCATGCGACTGTGCACGTGCAGCTGGCTCACGTGTGCACACAGCAGTGGAAGACGGGTGGGTGTGAGCAGCGAGCTTCCCAAATCGCACCTGGGAGAGCAGCCATGCACGGCCAGTTCCAGGAAGCTGCTTTCTTCCTCGCTGTGTTTCTGCTCCCCCCACGGTAACCCGGCTCTCCTCCCAGGAAGATGATCCCAGCCTGAAAGGTGGGCAAGGGGTGAGCCACAGTTCCCGGCACAAAGGGCATGTTGGGCAGGGGGGAGGACGAGGGCAGGGGCCCCAAATCGCACCTGGGAGAGCAGCCATGCACGGCCAGTTCCAGGAAGCTGCTTTCTTCCTCGCTGTGTTTCTGCTCCCCCCACGGTAACCCGGCTCTCCTCCCAGGAAGATGATCCCAGCCTGAAAGGTGGGCAAGGGGTGAGCCACAGTTCCCGGCACAAAGGGCATGTTGGGCAGGGGGGAGGACGAGGGCAGGGGCCTGCCAGGCTTATAGGGGAGCAGCAAGCCAGGGCTGGCAGAGGGAGGTCAGGCACATATTCCCCAGGCTCCTCCCCAGCACAGGGCACTCCCCAGCCAGCAGCAGCTCAGAACAAGCAGAGGGCACCAAACCCCAGTCTGCCCCCAGGCGGAAGCGGCTGAGCTGGCCCTGCGCTCTGCCTGTTTGTTTTGGAAATGAGGACGCGAAGGTGAGGCAGACCCTGCTGGGTGACAGGCATGGTCCATGTCTAGAGGGAAACGGCCGGGGTACAGCAGACCAGGGATGGAGGGGGAGCACTGTGGGAGAACACGGCCTGTAGCCACGAGGGAAAGGAGGGGGGATCTCTCATTAGCTCCTGCTGCCGGTGCTCCATTTCCTTCGCACCATTGCAACTGCGGCCCTCCCCGGCTCTCCCAACTGCCTCGGAGAGCGAAGTGAGTCCGAGCAGGGCTGAGGCGGGACAGCCGCCCCGTAAAGCATGGAAGCAATCTGGCATTTCAGAAAGGGAACAGCGAAATACCAGCCTAAAGTTCAGTGCCTGCCAAGCTCCCTTCATTTAGGCTACGTCTACACTGGCCCCTTTTTCAGAAGGGGCATGCTAATTTTGAAAGTGGGAATAGGGAAATCCGCGGGGGATTTAAATATCCCCCGCAGGATTTAAATAAAGATGTCCGCCGCTTTTTTTCCGGCTTGGGGAAAAGCCGGAAAAAAGCGTCTAGACTGGCCCGATCCTCCGGAATAAAGCCCTATTCCGGAGGATCTCTTATTCCTACTTTGAAGTAGGCTTCCTTTGAAGTAGTAGACGTAGCCTTAGTGTGTAGGGGAGGAGGGCATCGGGGCGTCCTGCATGCAGGGAAAATGTCAGAAGCTGCAGCAGAATTGCCCCGCCCAGTGTCCCAGACGACACACGTAACCCCACTTGGCCTACAGAAGTAGCTGTCCTTCAAAGCTCTCTTGCCTCGGAAGCCGGGGAGGTTAATTTCTGGGCTGTAGTTCATGAAAACCTCAGACAAGTTGCGCAGAGACAGAAAGGCAGTAACAACACCAGTCTCCCTTCCCCCCGTGCTGCACCATCCTCTGCCCCAGAAGGGGGCTGCATTTCAAGAGAGCCACATGCCTGGGAGGCCAGTCCAAAACCTGACGTGGACTTATGTACATGGCCAACCAGGGGCGGGTTTTGGAAACGGGGCCTGGAAGTTCCGTGACTGACCTTTCCAGTCCACAGAAGCCGAAAAAGATTTGTTGGAGCATAAGCTTTCGTGGGCAAAAACCCACTTTGTTAGATGCATCTGCCCACAAAAGCTTATGCTGGGCACGTAGTTCAAACTACCAGGCATTTAAAAATGGCAGCGCCCAGGAACATGCAAATAAAGTCCAGGATATTTTAATCCCGGGCTTCATTTGCAAGTTCGAATGACTACATTAGCCACCCTAGTTCGAATGACTACATTAGCCACCCTAGTTCGAACTGGGGTGGCTAGTGTAGACATACCCTTAGTCTATAAGGTGCCACAGGACTCCTTGTTGCTTTTGCAGATTCAGACTAACACAGCTACCCCCTCTGATACTAGAATCCAGAAAGTTTATTCCTGTTCATTTCTTTGCAGGAAGAAATAAGCCATTTCTGGCAAGAGAGGGCGGGTTTTGTTTTTGCTGGGTTTGGTGATGGGGTTATTTAATGATCCCTTTGGCTAATGGTGGTGGAATTATTTTGGTGGCAGGCCTGTTGAGATTGGGTTGCAGACTCTCTTGGGGTATGTCTACACTATCCCGCTAGTTCGAACTAGCGGGGTAATGTATGCATACCAAACTTGCTAATGAAGCCCGGGATTTGAATTT